AAAAAACAAAGTTTTTCAAATCAAAATGACTTGTACAAATGGAAGAGGCAATTTCGAAAGTGAAGAATAAAAATAAAAATTTATTTATTTTTTATCAAATTTAAAAAAAAAAAATATATAATTTATAGGAAATGAAAATCATGAGTTTACACCTTCAGTTAAAATCAAGTAACGTTTTTCGCATCCTACAAAAGAATTCGATATAAATTGTATAACGCAATGATTTTTAATGTGTAGCTTTCCTTAAGAGAAATTCTGCTCAGGAGGTGTTCCTTGGAATAAATCTTGATGATTGTAATTAAGAATTCGATCTTTGTAATAGGCTCTACATTCGCCGTTTCAAATGAAGATGTAAAAAACTTTGCAGAAACTAATACATATGTCTAACCATCTTAAGTACCTCCTTAACACAAGAATACTTACAACAAGGAATTGAAGAAAAAAACTTAAGCTCTTCATTACCAGGGCGTTAAGCAGCCTCTTAAGGTATCTTAATTTTAGACAATGACTTGGCACATTTACACTAAAAACCGCGTCTATTTTCGTTGTTCTTTCACTTCCTTCCCCCTTCCCCTTGAGACAACAAATTTGAAACAAACTCCAAGTGCGACTACTCTAAAGACTTTTCACATTTAGACATTTTAATTAGCCGTTGCTGTCGAAGTGGAAAAACAATTTGTGGCACAACTCTTTATGAAAACCGAAAATAATAATAAAAATAATAACAATAATAAAAGTCATTACCGCTAAAGAGGGGGGAGGGCAACGGAGGCATTCAATATTCCCCAATGTAAACAAAAATATTAACAAAAGGCGCACCCGCGCTTCGCTTTAATGTAGCGCTTGAGTGGTTGCCATTGTCGTAACATAAATCAATGAATGAGGTGACACAGGGAGCACAGAATGGAAGTCTGAGTGTGTCTGTCACTAAGTGTGTGGAAACTATAAATCTCGTATTAGCTGATCATTATGGGGTTAACCCATTATTGTTTTCCACTTAAGCAGGGCTGTATTTACATTTGGCAAGGGGATGGAGGAAGAAATGTTATTCCACTAAAAGGTGTTAAATGAAGTTGAAAATAATTTCCAGAAATAAAGAATTAAATGATGCCCAATGACTGTGCCATGCACGAATTGGAATTTGGGGAAATGTTTTTGTGTCATTGCCTAAAAGTGAAGTGAAACGAAACTCTATGCCAGGGGAGCGTAATAAATTCCCTAAAACATATGCATTTGACACTAACAATGAGGCGACAAGGCGGAGACAATGTCGTGATAAACATGACCTCAACCCCTTAAAGTAAGACCCCACATTTGAGGCTAATGTTAATATATTTGTTGAAAATATATGTGTCCACACATGTGAGAGGATTGGGAGGGTCTATTCTTGTTAAGTATACAAACTATAATATTATAATTAGAAATATTATTATAAGAAAGATATGTATGGACATCATAAAAATACTTATTTTCTGTTATATATTTCAGGAGGACTAAATTTATTTATATTTACTTGATCTCTCACATATACAATTGAGATCTATAGCCTCCATCTTAAGAAAACTTTCTAGGTGCTAATAATAGAATGAAGTTATATTTTGACTTGAACGTAATTGTAGCAAGTCAAAATTTATTTATTTTTCATAAAATTCTACTATAGGTCCCAGAAATCACCAAAAGTCTAAATCTTACCTAAACGCCACAAAAGCCCTTTTGGAAAAATTTATCAAAAAAAAAAAAAAAAATAAATAAATAAATAAAATAAAATTATTTTGTTGTTTTTAGGCAATTAAATAATTTCCTGGGCGTGAGATAAAACAAGTAAAAAAGATATAAGTTCGGCCGGGCCGAACTTTGAATACCTTCCGCAACTTGGAACGAATTTGGCAATTTTCAAAATTCTGTTAAAATCTTAAAAATACCGAATGTAGCCTTTATATTAGGGTCTATACAACGACGTGGACCTGCACCATAAAAATCATCAAAATACCGAATATAGAGAGGTACTATTATATGGGGCTATACCAAAACGTGGACCTGCACAGACAATTTTCTGTCATAGGCTGTAGTATCCATTACCAATTTCAAAAACCAAATTTGAAGTAATACCGGTGAACAATGTTGCTAAAATCATCAAAATGCCGAATAAAGGGAGGTAACGTTATATGGGGGCTATATGATGATGTGGACATACACAGACAATTTCCTGTCTTAGGCTGTAGTACCCATTAAAACTTCAAATACCAAATTAAAAACAAATTCGGTGAATAATGTCGCTAAAATCATCAAAATACCGAATATCGGGGGTACCGTTATATGGGGAATCTGCACAGACAATTTTCAGTCATAGGCTGTAGTATCTGTTTCGAGCTTTAAATACCAAATTTGAAACAATTCCGATGAATATTGTCGCAAAAATCATCAATATACCGAATATCGGGAGGTACCGTTATATGGGTGCTATAGCAAAACGTGGACCTACATGGCCCATTTCCAATACCAAAAGTAGCGCAGAACTAATATACTTTTGATTACAATTTTATCAATCTACTTCAATTCGTTCGGAAGCTAAAGTGATTTCCACAGACGGATAGACGGACTGACATCGCTAAATCGACATAGATTTTATGCTGATCAAGAATACATATACTTTGTGGGGTCTAAAATGTATATTTCGAGGTGTTACAAACGGAATGACCAACTCAATATACCCTCCATACTATGGTATAAAAAAATGTCGGAAATAGCATCATATTTTTGAATAAGTTTGGATTCGATCGAATTGGTCACCTTTGCCACGAATTATGGCCTTCAAACGGCCAATGAACCGTCACTCGCTGCCCGAATGTTGCTCTGCGGTATTTTGGCTCATTCCCGGCGAAGCGCTTGATTCAGGAGATCGGCACTTTTGTATTTTTTAGTGCCAACCTTGCTTTCCAAAATACTCCAGACACAATAGTCGAATGGATTGGTATCCGGAGATTTTGGTAGTCATTGTGCACTGGAAATGAAGCGAGGAACCTCATTTTGTATCCATTCTTGGGATGCGCGTACTAAGTGCTATGGTGCTGAGTCCTGTTGGAATGTCCAAGTTATGCGGCCAAAATGTTTGCGTGCCCAAGGCTTTAATACATCCTCCGGAATATTTACGCGATAATATTTGGCATTTATTCTAATGCCACGGTGGATTAATACGAGCGAGACGATCATCGGCTGTTATGGCCCTGCCACACCATCACCATGGCGCTTGAGTTTTGTTGGCCAACTGAAGGTGCACATTTTCAGCTGACCTCTTTGGCAAGTAAACACGATCATTTTGTTTGTTTACAAACTGTTGGATAACGAATGTTTTCTCATCCGAGAAAACCAAATTCGGCAGTTCACCACTTTTGGCCAAGCGAAGCAACTCTTTAGCTCTTTTGAGTCTATTTTCTTTCTGTTGCGGTGTAAGTTCTTGCATTTGTTTTAATTTCAATGGCTTTACCACGAGCTAATTTTTCAATATTTGCCGAATCGAATATTGCGATATGTTCAGCTCACGAACCATTTTTCGCCATTGCGACGCGGGTTTCGATCAAGCCGCTTCTTTACTTTTCGAACCATTTCTACAGATGTTGCTGTTTTCTTCCGTCCACTTACTTGACGTCGGGAACCTCATCACGGTAACGAGCGATGGTACGAAACACAAAATATTTATTCACATTTAAATGCTGGAGTGCTCTTACGATAGCCACTTGTGGTTTTCCAAAAATAACCTATCACGCTTGAATTTCATCACGAATAAAATTTTTTCTGGAAAATTCTCAGCAAAATGCTTTTGTATGCCTGTAAACAATATAATGAGCTGTCACTGGAATAATTTTAACAGGACGAGTGGCTTAGAAATGACAGCAGTCTGAAGTTGGTTGCAGTTTTTTCATCTCACCCTGTAAACTCTTTACCTCCTTGAGACACATTTTGGCAGTATGAAATTATATATACCCTCTCTAGCCATATGGCTGAGGGTATGCAAATAAAACTCTGTTTTAAGTTAACTTGTCCTGTTAACGCCACGTAAAAGCGTGCGATCGGCATACAACTTGATTCCATTCAAACTGAAATCAATGAATTACTCTTTGCAAAACAACAAATTTCCTTGTGTAGCAGCCCTGGCATCCGGCTGTTTATTCATCATTTTATGAATAGTTTTGACACACATCCATACACAGTTACACGAATACACACACACATTTCTCTCTAACATCCATATAGCTTTGATTAATTTGTAAATACCAAATATGTAGCTAAATAATTTGTTATTGTACTAAAAATATAATAATAATAACAAATTGTTTATTAAACCGATGTCTGGCTGTTTTTGTTGCAAAACTATTTTTTATTGTCACTTTCCACTGACAACAACAAAATAGTTTCGCCCAAGATGTGGAGTTTGCATTCATGCGTGTGTGTGGAAATGGTGATGGCGATGATGGAAATGATTTTCACCGGTCGCTATTTATGTGTATGAGTGTTTATTATAACTTAGATATGAACATATTATAAATATCTACGACATTCTTAGACTAGTTTAGGATGACACTCACTTACACACACACACATGTGTGTATCTACATACACATGTAGCTAGGCACTGATATGAGTATTGGAATGTAACCTTATACACGTTTTATGTTTATTTTTAAATTGAATTGCAACGGCTTTGTCATATTTTTTTCTGTCCGGCCTGCCTCGAGGAGTGGAGAGGGCAAGCGGGCGGGTGACTAAAAGAAACCAATAAATATTATGGCTTGACATGTTTTATAGATATGTATGTCTGTTTTTCCATTTTCATAAATTAGCTTAAATGTGTCACTTGCAATTAACTTGGCCAAGGCGACATTGGTTAACAGGCAATGCCAAGCGTTAAAGCTAATGAACTTTGGCTAAGTAATTTTCTTTTTTTGTTGCTGCTGTTGTTGTCAATTTGTTAAAATGTGTTTTTGTCTTTTTTCCATTTGCAGTTTAACCAAGATTTGTATTCCTCGTCGGGCGTGCAGTTGGCCTCCTCCAGTGCCTCGGGCAGTTCACATTCACCCTGCAGTCCCATTTTGCCACCTTCGGTGAGTGCCAATGCAGCGGCGGCAGCTGTTGCCGCTGCCCACAACACAGCGGCTGCTGTGGTGGCCGCAGCGGCCCAAACCGCCAATCATGCCTCCTCATCCTCTAGTTTAAGTGCAAATTTACCCCTGAGTGCGGGCAGCAGTGGTAGTGCTGGAGCGGGTGGCGGCGGTGGTGGTGGTAGCAGTAGTCATGGCGGTAGTCTTGTGGGCAATGTTGGCGGAGGTTTGGGTTCAAATCTGTCCGGCTCAGTGGTACATGGCGGAGCGACGGGCGGTGCCGGTCTCATGGGTCCCAGTAGCCTAGGAAATACGTTACACAGCAGCAGCCGAACACATACCAAAGAAGAAGATCTGGGTTCAGTGGCACGCAACGAAGCTGAAGGTAGGTAAAATATCGGAACATTTTGGGAAAGAACCTGTATTTTAAGCAAGAGAATTAAGGAAGTTATTATTTTTTGTTGTTGTTGTTGTAAAAATGGTTAAACTCAATCCTATTATTGTGATTTTTATAAAAACGGCGTTTATTTGTCTGTGGAGAAAAAAGGTAATGTTTACCGGCTGGTATGGTTTCAGAAGGAGCTAAAAGTTCACCTCCTTGGTTTTTTAAAGTCGGTCCAATTTTTTAGGTTGCACGAATAAAAAATTTGTCCTCATTTATACTAGGCTGGGGGCAATTTTTATCGTTCTCTATTGACCTTGCCTCTCATTGCCTTTTCTGTAATTATGCCCTCAGTCATATGGCTGGAGGGTATATATCATTTGAAACGGCCGAAACGTGCCTCATCGAAATAACGGTTTTAGACCCTAGGTCTCCTTGGACCAAATTCGTTTCAGGACATTTGGAGTCGATCTAGCGATGTACGTCCGTCCGATTGTATGGCTGGCTCATGATAACTCTCAAAGGGAGTATCCGATTTGGTCCAAACTTGGTACAGTGTAATATTATTGTCAAACTTAGATTGACTTAGAGGAGATGGGCAATATCGGTCCACTCCTTCTGGTACCTCCCTCACAAAGGGTCAACATTTTGAATAATTACAACCCTTATAAAATGTGATGTAAGAGTCCGATTGTCTTCAAATTTCACACATCCCAATATTTATATTAACCCAAGGTATGGTGTTAAGATGGAATATATCGTTCCACTCCCTCTGGTACCTCCCCCACAAAAGGTAGATATTTTCAAAAAATATATATATATTTGAACTCATATAGAGAGAAAGGATTATCCGATTTTACTTCAATTTTGCAAAATTCTAATGTTTGCATCAGTGCTAGGTCAGGTGTGAAAATGGAAAACATCGGTCAACTGCATCAAGTACCTACCCCACAAAGGGTCAAAATTTTGAATAATTATAACTCTTATAAAATGTGACATAAGTGTCGGATTGTCTTCAATTTAAACACGTCCCATTATTTCTTCTAACCCAAGGTCTGGTGTGAAGATGGAATATATCGGTGCACTCCATCGGGTACCTCCCCCACAAAGGGTCAAAATTTTGAATATTCATGAAGCTCATAAAACACGGAATTAGCATCCGATTCCATTCCAGACTTGGCATATCTCAATATTTCCATCAACACAAGATCTGTTATTAAGTTGGTAGAAATCGGACCATTGCTCCTGGTACCTCCCCCACAAAGGGTCAAAATTGTGAATAACCAAGACGTAAAATCATAAAATCCGAAATAAACATCTGGTTCTCTTCATATAGCACACGTCCTATTATTTCTACTAATTCAAGGTCTGGTGTGAAGTTGGGATATTTCGGTCCACCCCTTCTCGTACCTCCCCCACAAAAGGGTTAACATTTTGAATATCCATGAAACTCAAAAAAAAAAAAAAAATGCGAAATTTTATATCCCATTCCATTCAGACTGGCCACATCTCAATATTTTCATCAACACAAGATCTGTTATAAAGATGGTAGAGATCGGACCATTGCTCCTGGTACCTCCCCCACAAAGGGTCAAAATTTTGAATAACCAAAACGATCATAAAATCCGAAATAAGTATTCGGTTCTCTTTAAATTACTCACATCGAAATATTTTTATTAACCTAAGGTCTGGTGTGAAATTTGGATACATCGGTCCACTCCTTCTGGTTCGTCCCCCACATAGGGTTCAGAATTCTGAAAAACAAAATGCTCAAAAAATGTGAAATAAGCATCCGGTTCTCTTCATATTTCACACATTCCATTATTTCTACTAAACAAGGCCTGCTGTCAAGATGGAATATATAGGTCCATTCCTTCTGGTACCTACCTCACATTATCGCATATCTTATATAAAGTGAAGGAAGTAACCAATGTATACGAAACCTGGTACCTCGCAATATTTATATAATATTTACTTAGGTCCGATACGAAATTGACAACATTGGCCCATTACTTCCGAGCCAACTCCATAGAGGGCCACACATTTGAATAATTATAACTGAGGTCAAAATATATTTAAATTATCGAACATTGGCTGAGGATATACAAGACCGACTGATACTTTTTAACTTGTTTTTTTTTTTTTCTCAAATCCAAAGCCCCTTACTCCCTCATTTGCCAAAATCCCGCCACAATAAATCATAAATGCCACTTGGGGCGAAAAACGTGTGGCTTGAATTTCAAACCCAAATCAAAACAAATAATAAATCGTTCGAAAAAAAGGCAACCAAATGTTTTGGCTCCAATCAGTCAAATATGATTTGATTTTTGTTCGCTTGTAAAAATCAATGTTTCACTCAATTATTCAGAATTATGCGTTTGCGTTTTTTTTTTTGGTCGCTGGTTGACTTCGTTTTTGGACAAAACAGGGATTCATATGGCCAGTTAGTCAGTCAGTCACTTGGTCGTCGTCAATGTTGGCGAGTGGGCAGCATGTGGTGTGGTGGCGCGTATAATGATGCTCCACAAGTTAATAACACAAAGAGCTAGCTGGTGGTGGCCTCCATGTGTGTGTGTGTGCGTGTGGCTCAGACCCGCCAGCAGTGAGCAAACAGTAGGCAGTACTTGTTGAAAAATGCCTGGAATGTCGTTTTATTTAATATGGTGTCGAGTCCATCCAAACGCTTAGCATTTTCTGGTCGGAACAGTAGCCGACCGCGACGCTCCAGCCAGCCAGCCAAGACATTTATAAATGACTAGCATTTTGTCAAGTTGTGATTAAACAAATATGACTGACTCTTAACAAGTTTGGATTGCCCATAGCTGTGAAATCTATGAACCATTGAATGTGGCAAAGTAACCGATACCATGTCGTCATGTTTACCGTTTTCAAAGCATGTCTTGCGGAGGAGAAAGGAAAAAGAGTGTGTTGGAAAGGAATCTTGAGATATATAATTTTTAAAAATTTCTGAATAATTTTGAAAAATATATTTTTAAAAGACCATCAGCAATCGAATCGAACAAAACTTCACAAAAAACGTAAGGTTCAACATAATGAGATTTATTGGAAGTCGTCGGTACTGCAATGATTCTTAGGGGTCACATTCGGCAGCATGTTGAAGTCGCCTGTACTAGCCACAGCTATCTGTGACCAAATGAAAAGTAGGAACAAGGTCTTCTAGGCGCTAGCCAGTAGCACTTGGGTTGTGGACAAGGAGGGCTTGCAGTTATCTTATAATGGGATACCCCTGTCTATGGTCAGCAATGCGACCCAAGTGCTATGTTGTGGGAGACCATCTAGACCTGCCACAATGCTGCTCTGAGACAGGGGGCCACCTCATGACACTAGTGAACCATATACATGCGGGGGTAGAGGTCCTTCCTGTACGTCAGCATAACCATATGCTTCATTTGTAGTTTCTGCTTGGGTGTTATCGTGGGAGTCATCCGAACCATCATATGGTGTATAAAACTCTCCCACACCCATGCGAGTCAGGAAGGACATACATGATCTAGAGAGGGAGGTCCAGCGCTATTATAGGGAGCCTCTAGATTAAGATCGAGTCTATCAGGACGGTCTGACTTGCATTCATAGCGATACAGTCACAGATGCCATCTAAATTTACAAAGTATATGCCAACATCGGGGACCAATTTCCATACATTGCAGCTGAAAAACGTTGGATGCCTAGACAAACTAGGGTGGTTTTGGCAATTACGTTTAGGGTGAAGCAGTTGTTTCAATTCGTATTGGGCGCTGTCAAATCTACCCAACTCACTCCAGAAGATCTATGGTTATAGCAAGCGAAAGTAGCCGAATTTTTAAACTTGGAGTTAGAACCGAACCAGTAGAAATTAAAAAAGAAACATGTGTAGATGTTACAACAACACCTTTTTTTTTGGGGGTCCACCTCCTCTCCTCTCAAGGGGCCCTACTGAAAAAAAACAAACTTTGTGGCTCAAAAAATTGGTTGTGTGGGGCTTAAAACAAATTTGAAAATTCGATTCCATTTGACACCCAAAGTATGCCTGTCAAAGCCACTTGTTCTGCAAAAGTTAAATGCTAAGCAGTTATCCTCTGCCCAGGGATGATCATTTAACTCCTTCGCCTGAAACTCAACAGCACACGTTACTAATTAATTTGCAAATTTTTTAGATAGTTCGCTGGTAGTGGGGACAAAAAAAAAACGCTCACACACACACACAGACACCCAGGGATGTCTGAACAGACATTTCAACATAGCTGCGATAAGTAACCGGCAGCAAAAGCGAAGCGAGTAGGCAGCCAGTGACAGTGGCACTGGTATGTCTGAAAACATTCCAAACAAATTCCTGAGCTGATATTTATTAAATTTGAGACAGGCAGCCATAAAAACAACAACAAAACACGCCATAACGGCCAATAACAACAACAGCAACAACGACAATAAAAACAACATCAAAAAATGAAAAATACGCGAATTATGGTGGCAAATAGCAAACAATTCATAAATTTTTATAAATGAAATGATATTAACAAAAAAAAATTGTTTTTTTTTTTTTTTTGTGAATTTTTATGGAGTCGTAAAAATTTTGTTAAAATAATTTAATTTAAAAAAATATCTATTAATATTTAAAATAATTTATTAATTTTTGCTCTTAATCTGTCTCTCACAGCACGTTTAGTTGGTGGCCATCATCATCACAACGAGTCATCATGTTCCTCTGGTCCCGATTCTCCGCGCCATCATTCAATGCATCCCAGCGCTGGTCCCGGCCCCAAAGACATGGCGCTGGACACATCCAATAGCATAAATGCCGGTCAGGGGAGAGCACAGTATTTATCAGCAACCTGCGTCGTATTTACAAATTATTCCGGTGATACAGCCAGCGTGGTGGATGAACATTTCTCCCGAGCTCTGAACAGTAGTAAAGGTGAGTTTAAAGGAAAGAAAAAATAATAAATTAAAAAAAAAAGAACAAGTTAAAAAGTATCAGTCGGTTTTGACGACAGATGTATACCCTCAGCCAATGTTCGATTATTGGAATATAATTTGACTTCTATAGTTGACCAAAAATTGTGAGATTTTGTGGGTGAGGTACCAGAAGGGTTCGCAGATATATATCATTTTCACGACAGATCTTGTGTGAGCAAGAATGTTTGTATGTGTGAAATTTGAAGAGAGTTGAATGCTCATTTTGCTTTCTTTAAGCGTTTTGGTTTTCAAAATCTTGAACCCTAATTTTGTGAGGTGCCATAAGAAATGGTCCAATCTCTATGATATTTATAACAGATCTTGTATTGATGGAAATATTGAGATGCGTCAAATCTGAATGGGTATTCAAAATTTTGACTCTATGTGGGGGAGGTACCAGAAAAAGTGGACCGATATGTCCCATCTTCACAGCAGATCTTGCGTTAGTAGAAATAATGGGATGTGTGAAATATGAAGAGAGCCGGATGCTTATTTCGCTTTCTTTGAGCGTTTTGTTTTTCAAAGTCTTGAACCCTATGTGGGGGAAGTACCAGTAGGAATAGTCCAATCTCTACCATCTTTATGACAGATCTTGTGTTGATGGAAATATTGAGATGTGCCATGTCTGAATGGGATCGGATGCGAATTTCGCGTTTTATGAGCTCCACGAATTTTCAAAATGTTGACCCTTTGTGGGGAGGTATCAGAAGGAGAGGACCGATACATCCCATCTTCACAACCGATCTTGTGTTAGTAGAAATAATGGGATGTGTATAATATGAAGAGAGCCGGATGCTCATTGCGGATTTTATGATCGTTTTGGTTATTTAAAAATTTGACCCTTTGTGGAGGAGGTAACAGAGGAAATGGTCCGACCTCTACCATCTTCATAACAGATCTTGTATTGATGGAAATATTGAGATGTACGAAGTCTGAATGGAATCGGACGTTAATTTTGCATTTTATGAGCATCATGGATATTCAAAATTTTGAGCCTCTGAGGGGGAGGTACCGGAGGGAGAGGACCCACATATTCCATTTTTTTCACCAGACCTTGAGGTTATAAAAATATTGTGATGTGTGAAGTTTGAAGAGAACCGGATGCTGATTTCGGATTTTATGATCGTTTTGCTTATTCAAAACTTTGACCCTTTGTGGGAGAAGTGCCAGAAGGAATGGTTCGATCTCTAGCATCTTTATAACAAATCTTGTATTGATTGAAATATTGAGATATACAAGGTCTGAATGAAATCGGAGATTTATTTCGATTTTTAAGAGCTTCATGAATATTCAAAATGTTGGCCCTTTGTGGGGGAGGTACCAGAAGGAGTGGACCGATATATTCCATCTTCACACCAGACCTTGGGGTAATAAAAATATTGTGATTTGTGAAATTTTGAGACAATCGGATTCATACGTCGCATTTTGAAAAGGTTATAATTATTGAAAATTTTTACCCTTTGTGAGGGAGGCACTTGATGTAGTGTACCGATATTATGCATTTTTGCACCTGACCTAGCACTAAAGCGAATATCAGGATTTGCAAAGTTGGAGCAAAATCAGATCATCATTTCTCTTTCTGTGCAGAAAATATATTTTTTGAAAATTTCGATCTTTTGTAGAGGAGGTACTAGAAGTAGTGGACCAATGTTGCCCATCTGTGAACTCAATCTAAATTTTACGATTTACCAAGTTTGGCCCAAATCGGGTACTCCCTTCGATAGTTATCATGCGCACCAGCCAGCCATACAGTCCGACGGACGAACATCTTTAGATTGACTCCAAATGTCCTGAAACGGATTTTGTCCAAAGAGACCTAGGGTCAAAAATCGTTATTTCGTTGAGGAACGTTTTGGTCATATAAAAATGATATATATCCTCATATGACTGAGGGTATAATAAGCCATATGGCCGAGGCTATAAAAACTCAAAATTGGATGGACAAAATATGCCTTGAACTGTTGTAACTTTCCGAGGTCAAATAAAATTTAATTATTTAAATTGGAAACTTATATTTTAGAGGATAAAGAAAATCAGAATTATCCTTCAACGATTGTTAATTACCTCTGTCCACTGATTTTATTCCACAAACTATATCTAACTAATATCTATTGAGATATTTCCCTCTCCATCTCTCACACACACACATCTGTACATATGACACAGTACTTTATCATTTGTAAAGATCAAAAGTGTTGCAAGCTGTCATGTAAATGTCACAGACACAGATTTAGATTTTGTCGCTTGATATTCCGCTCTGCGTCTGATGTGACGGAGCCTCCAAAAATAATGAAATACGAAATTACACATATCATTTGCTCATTAACAATTGGGAGTAAACGTTCTCCCCACTTTGCCAGGATACATTTCACTTCATTTCATTTAAAGGGCTCATTTCATGTTGAGGTCCATATCTGGTGCTGTTCGTGTTGTTGTAGTTTTTGTTGGATTTTGATTTCTTAGAAAAAGTGCCAACATGACACCGAACATGGGTAACAGTACCACCACCTAATGCTGCTGTTTGTGGTTGTCAACGTCGTCATTGTCATCAACCTCAGCCTCAGCATCATCATCATTGTGGGGCTGCTGGCTGTTGTCGCCAGTGACAGCCACTGTGACAATGCCGCCACATCTTAATAAACGATTCTCAACAACAAAGGGTCTTTGGATGGATCACTTTGTAGCTGGCTCACTTCATTCTCTTTCACAGACGTTTGATTTTGTTAAAGTACTTTTTTGGTTTTTGGTACCACATCGTCTCCACATGTCACACGGTCGAAAAGTTGGCTAATATTGTCAAAATTTTTGACAAATTATATTTTTATTAAGAAGTTGTGTCCGCTGTCGCGATTTCATTAGGAATCATTTATTATTTCGTTGATGTAGCTAAACAAACCATAAAATAAAAAAACTTGAGACATATTCCTTCATTACCAAATAATGGGTTTATTACATACTTTTTCACATCAACCGATCTACAAATCCTTTTATGTAATTTCGTAAAATTTTATTAAGTTAGGGCGAGAATACGTAAAACACTTTTTTGACTGGTCCTATTCATCGGCGGGCTTTTTTTTAAGAGAGAAACAAAGGAGTTTAAGGTTGACTTAGTTCGATTTTGGCTCATAATTTATACTTGGTCAACCTACGCTCCTTTGACCTTTTCCCAAGAAGTCATCCGATGACTTAAGCCAGTCAAAAAAGCGTTTTATGTATTCTCACATTAAGGTGATTTAAGGTACATTATCCCCTAGCTTTTTCGTAAACGAACAAAGGACTTGGGAAAACAAATTTCCTCTGAGGTGTGAGACTTTGTAAGAAAAAAATTCTGCGACTCTAAAAATTCAAGGAGAATTTTTTCTAAAAAGAATCCTTAAGTCCTCGCCGTTGAATTCTCAATCTCCCAGAATGTGATTTTTCTGTAGAAATATAAAACTGTGTGACAAAATTCAATTTTTTACATAAATACAGGGAAAATCCAGCAGATTATGAAAGTAGAGGCAAAAAAAGAGGACACGTATAGCGTCGTTTTGAAAGTGTATATCGCAAATTCATCTAAATAGAGTAGAAAAGTTTCGCTCTCTTCCACAATTTTGGAAATTTTTGAATTAAGATTCCTTGGATTCCATGCATTTTAGCTATACAGGGTGAGATAAAAAAACCTGCAACAAAGTCAAACGCCATAATTTTTACATTTTTTTTAATTTCATTGAATGAAAAATTTCGAAAATAGCATCAAGTTTTAGAATAAGTTTAGATTTGTTTGAATTGGTCACCATTGGCACGAATTATGGCCTACAAATGGCTAATGAAAATGTCGCACGCTAACCGAATGTTGCTCTGCGGTATTTTGGGCCATTCCCGGCGAAGCCCTGGCTTGAGGTGATCGCCACTTTGGTATTTTTTAGTGCCAACCTTGCTTTCCAAAATACTCCAGACACAATAGTCCAATGGATTGGTATCCGGAGATTTTGGTGGCCATTATGCGCTGAAAATGAAGCGAGGAAACTCATTTTGTAAACATTCTTGGGTGGCGCGTGCTGAGTGCGATTGTGCTGAGTCCTGTTGGAATGTCCAAGGTCTGCGGCCAAAATATTTGCGTGCCCAAGGCTTTAATACACCCTCCAGAATATTTTCGCCATAATATTCGGCATTTATTCTGATGTCACGGTCGATTAATACGAGCACAGAGCGATCATCGGCTGTTATGGCGGCCCACACCATCACTCACCATGGCCGGCGCTTGAGTTCTGGTAGCCATACGAAATTGCATATTTTTAGCTGATCTCTTTGGCAAGTAAACACGATCATTTTGTTTGTTTACAAACTGCTGGACAACGAATGTTTTCTCATCGGAGAAAACCTAATTCGGCAGTTTACTACTTTCTGCCAAGCGAAGCAACTCCTGAGCTCTTTTAATTCCATCACGAAATACTTTTTTTCTGGAAAATTCTCACCAAAATGATTTTGTATGCTTGTAAACAATATAATGAGCTGTCGCTGGAATAATTTTAACAGCTGTCGGACGAGTGGCTTAGAAAAGACAGCAGTCTGAAGTTGGTTGCAGTTTTTTCATCTCACCCTGTATATTACTCTTTCGAAAATAAGGTTTAGTTTTTTAATATTAAGTTTTTCTCTTGGTAAAGATTCTGAAAGCTGACAGCAGAAAAATTACGCTACCTAAAATCTGATTAAAGAGACATTTTTAGCCAACTTTTCGCCATAGAAGAGATATCAAAAAAAAAAAAAACTGGAACTTTGGAGACTTCTTCTTTTGTACATATGGAAAATCTATATCTATTAAGGAAATCTGCATCTATTAAGAAACATTTTCCGTGCAAGGGTCTACGTAGTAATATTTTGAAGCTAAAATTCCCAAGTTCTGAAGGACATATATTTCCCAATTGGGAACAAATTTCAGGAATAACCTTGAAATTCTTGCTCAAATTGAATAGGGAG